ATGGACATTGACCTGGAGCGACCTGCGGAGGAGTATGCCGATGCTGCAGATGATGCTGATGCCGATGATACCAGTGATCGAGCCGCTGCTCAGGAGCGAGTTTGGGAGTCGTCTTCAGAGGCATCTCTGCCTGAGTCTCCAGTTCCCACTCCCGAATTCGGAGCACGCTTGCAGACACTGGAGGAGGACGTAGCAGCTATGCGAGCCGACATCACTGCCCACCGAGCTGAGTTCACCTCTTTCAGGGCGGATGTCATGGCTTACTTTGCCGATCTCTCCAGCCGACTCCCTGCACCTGCACCCACACCTACACCTCCAGCCACTGCAGATCTTCACGATCAGGCCTCCTGAGACTCCACTTCCAGTTGTTCTATGCTTTCATTTCTTTTATTCTGGATCTCTATTATACTGTCACTGTTACTGTATTATACTTTGCGGCCGGTCTGTCGGCTTTATTATTTTATTGATGTACCTGAACTTTATATTCTCTATATATTGCTTTTTGATTATGGATGTCTCTTAGTATCTCATATTTGTATGTTTGACTCCATCAGGTACACCACAGTAACTTCAGTGAGAGAGTGCTGCCCAATTTTTCAGGACCACTCTTACACCTCTCTCTCTATTCTCTATTTATCCCATTTTACACTTGCATGTCCACTGTGCACTGATCATCCTATCTTGTTATCTAATGAGTTTATCCGAGTGTAAACTTTTCAGGACCACAGTTTATCCCAAGTTTGGGGGGGCCATGCCACCCACTTTGGATATTTCTATCCCGATCATTCATGTCTAAAGCACTGGTATACTCTTTCCTTTGTTCTCTTCACACATTGAGGACAATGTGCAGTTTAAGTTTGGGGGTATTGGTGTATGTTTCAGTGTTACTTTAAAATTCAAATTTTGAGCATGTCTTGTGTATTTGAGGGATATTTCTATACTTGGTCCATTTCTAGCTATGATTTTGATCTTTTAAGGACTATATTGCTTAAAATTTAAAAATTGCTTGACTTGAGAGTCCAATACTCCTTGTATGCCTTGAGGATGCCATTTAGGAGTAAATTTTTCAAAAGATTGATATCTTGCCTGCATTTGTGGTCCACATCATCCTGAATTTGTGATTGTTTTGAGATTCATTCTAGGATTCTACACTAGCACCGGTGCACATTAGCATTAATTTGTGGGGTATATGCTTTGTTGATTATTGAATTGGTTATATCCCAATTGGGCTAGTAGTAGCTTTCATTCTTGATAAAGGTGGATAACCCTTTTCATTGAGTAGCCGGGATTCTTGCCTCATTAAGCAGTGAACTTCTCGCGCCGAAAGGTGGAGGGCCCAAACTCTAGGTTAATAATTGATTATTTCAAAAAAAAAAAAAAAAAAAAAGTAAAAAAGTTGCAAAAGCAATAAAAGTGAGGACTTCTCCCAAAAGGTGAGAAGTGGGAAATGATTAGATGGTTATTGTCTTGATTTGTAGCCTAGTTGATTTGAGTTTGTAAGTCCGTTGGGGTGTCTTAACACCTAATGCCCTAAAGCCATCTGGTTTGGGAGTCATTGACCTAAAGCTCGCTATATGAATCTTCTAGAAAGCTTAAGAGATCAACACATTGCATAATATTTCCATCTTTGATCCTCAAGGAAAAAAAAAAAAAAAAAAAAAAAAGAAGAAAAAAGAAAAAAAAAATAGAGTGAAAAGAATAAGTGCACCTAGAAGAATAAAGCTTTAATAAAAGGTCCACTCTCTTATCTTGATGATTGGTACTAGATTTGTGTGCTAGTTTGATGGTAAGGATATGATTACTTCTCTAGTTGGCTAAGATAGCAACACACTTTATGCCGGACCTCTCACATGGATTCTAGACTTGTGTCGATTTTCATGATCATTTTCTTGATGTGTGGAGGACCATGCTTGCTTGTTTGATGTTGAGATTTTGGGAGATTGCTTGGAAACGGTTGAAAAATTGCATACTTGAGGTAGTCTTCTCCCAATACTTGTTTGCAATATTGGTGCCTCTTTTGAAAGAATGAGCTTAATGTTTGTGGGTACCATTTTTGGAAACCCTCACGAGACTTCACTCGTCCACTAGGGGTAACCTAGGGGTTTAAAAGGCTTGTTGCATATGCTAAATGCAATCGTGTTCCCTACGAAAATGGTGTTATCATTTTACTTGCTTTCCAGTTTATACTTGTTTAGTTGTTCATTTCATTCCTTTACTTCTTAGTTCATTGCTAGGGACTAGCAATATTTAAGTTTGGGGGTGTGATGAGCACTGAAAAGTGCGCATTTAAACCCGTTAAGCTTAAGCATTCTAGTACCTTTATCTATCTTACTTTGCCGTCTTAGACTTATTACGTGTTATTTATATTTTCAGGCACTAATCCCAAAATTGAGCTAACTCAGCCAAATAAGAGCTTAATTGAAGTAATCCTGAGATAAACCAAAGGAGGGAGCAAAGTGGAGAAAGAAAGGAGCAAAAAGGAATTAAGTTGTGCAGCTGAAAAGTTCGATCGATCCAACTTAGAGTTCGATCGATCGAACATCTATGATCGATCACAGTACTTCTCGATAGATCCAACCTTGGCCTTTGCTGAAATTCCAAGTTCGATCGATCCAACATCACCTTCGATCGATCGAACCCTATTTTGTCCTATTCAAATGATTGATCTTATCCACAGCTGTACGCCTACCAACCACTTTTGTCCTTTTCCCCACAAATATCTTCGAAATATCTCAGCCTTGTCCTTATCCGGAAGAGTCAGACCACTTCGATCGATCTAAGATGCAGTTCGATCGATCGAACCCATCTTCGATCGATCCAAGTTAAGGTTCGATCGATCGAACTTCCTCCAGCGAGAAAAAGTTAAAGTCTAGCTCATTTATTCCGTCCTTCATCCAATCATTGGAGAATATGCCTTGCACGACCACAGCTCATCATAGGGTGTATTTGACCTACCTATATAAGGAATATGATACACTTTTTGAAAAAGGGTTCTAGAGTTTCTTGTCACACATTGAAAATCATCTTGGAGGCTATTCTTGGAGAGAAAGAAGGGAGGAAGCTAGAGCACCATTGGAGGAGATCTTCACCAACAAGGAGCAGCCATAGAGTTAGCCCTTGAGGGTTGGATCATCACTACCACGAGTGGCTAGACATCTTCTTGGGGCTAGAGTTAGCCCCAAGCATGCTTTCTATACTCTAATCTTGTGTATTATTGAGGAATTAGTGTTGTATGATACATCTTGATATTAATGTATATATAAATCGTGATTATTTCATGGTTTGTATGGTTTAATGCTTCCAATTGACTATTCTATTCTACCCATATGTCTATGTATGCTAGAGTAGGATATTCATGTGCTTATCTCTAGATTTAGTGTTTTTGATGCATGTCTATGTGAATTGATGCTATAGATCTAGAGATTATCAAGATGATATGCTTAATGAATGCTATTTTGGTTCATTTGATGGTTTATGCCTATTCTTGATGGTTTGTGCCTCTCCCCTAGTCTAGATAGCTTTATTTTCATGCTAGTAGTGTAGATTTAGTGTAGTGGTAGTATAATGTTAGATGGGAGGACAATCTACTCTTGATGTTTGATGTTCCATGCTTGTGATTCCAAATGGCATATTCCTCTAATATTGTGTTGCATGTGGATTGTGAGCTTAACGAAGGATTAATGACTTGTTTTGATCTATTGTGCTATCCCCATGTTGTCTAGACAATATATGCTCTATTGTTTAGATATATTGTGCTCTTCACATGATGTTTAGACAATACTTGCTTGATTTGTCATCCTTGCCAATTGAATCAACCTAATGCACACACACCCTTATCATATTGTAACACATCCATTACCCTCAATTGATCACTTGTTAGTAGTATAGAAAAGTATTGCTTGGTGGTGATCTCTACACCCCAAGACCTCTCTCTCTCTTGTTTACCTCATATTATTTTATTTAGTTGAATTCAATTTAGCTTAATCAACCAACCAACCAATTGTGTGATCACTCGACCTACTAACCCTAATTACCATAGTTTCACAATTCGATACACCATCAAATCCCTTGGGACGATCCCTACTCACCCTATCTATATTTTAGATAGAGAAAGGTAGTAGTGGCTTTCTATAAATGTAAAACTTGGCCACCTCCTAAATTCTCACACAACTCTTCAAGCTTGACTTGGTATCGCGACCCTTGTAAAAGAGGACCGGTCACCCGTACATAAAAGAGGAGGCAACAAAGGAAGATGGCATGATATGGCAGGTCATTTCCAAGCTGACAAGCCAGATAGAACTAGGCCAACCAAGAAGACATGGAAGATTTTCAATGTTGATATAGATGGATTAGACTTGGATCATTGAAGAACACCAACTATTCATTTCTCGCAGGATCCTAGTGCCAATGTGGACAAGAGAGTTTAACTTTTGGCACCACATTACATTTTGATTGATGGAGATCTCTACAAAAAGAATAAAGAAGATGGACTCTTGCTAAGATGTCTTGGTAGGAACGAGTCCATGAGAGTAATGACAGAATCGCACCTTGGAATATGCGGAGCACATCAAGCCGGGATCAAAATGAGATGGCTTTTTAGAAGGTATGATTATTATTGGAAAGGCATATTGAAAGATTGCATAGAGTTTACAAAGACTTGTATTGCATGTTAAGAACATAGCCTGGTCCAAAAAGTTCTAGCTATAAACATGCAGCCAATACTAAAAATATGGCCATTCAGAGGGTGGACTTTAGACTTTATTGGAAAGTTAAGGCCACCATCTGTAGATGGCCATACTAATATTGTGGTGGCAACAGATTACTTGACAAAGTGGGTGGAGGCTATTCCACTAAAGACCAGTGAACAGTCCACAGTGATTGATTTTATTAAGAAGCACGTTATACATAGGTTTGAAATTCTAGAGACTCTCACCATTGACAGAGGCCTTTCCTTTGTTGAAAACAAAGTTCTTAATTATTGTGTTGAATGTGGTGTCTAAATGATCAATTCTACTCCATATTTTGCCCAAGCAAATGGACAAGCTGAGGCTTTCAACAAAGTAATTCTCAACATCCTTGAAAAGATGATTGAGAATTATCCAAAGGAATGGCATCACCTACTTTATGAGGCCCTTTGGGCTTACAGGATTTCAAAAAGATCAAGTACGAGTGTCACACCATATATACTTACATATGGACATGATGTCGTTCTTCCAATGGAGATGACCATTAGGTCTGCAAGGATGGCTCTCCAAAATAAGCTAACTCTAGCAGATTACAACCATGCTATGTTGGTAGAATTGGAAGACCTTGATGAAGTCTATCTCAATGCATTAGACCATGCTATTGCTCAAAAGAAGAAAGTCATGTGGGTATACAACAAGAAAGTAAACGCAAAATCATTTGTGGAAGGAGATTTGGTATGGCAAGTCGAATTTCCACCAGAAGTCCAAGACAAGGAATATAAAAAGTAGACCCCTAATTAGGAAGGTCCTTACTTGGTAGAACTAGTCCTTGGAAAAGGGGCTTATAGATTGATGGACATAAATGGAAGATCCCACATGCATCCTGTGAATGGTGTATACTTGAAAGAGTATCACCCTTCCATCTATGAAAACTGGAAAGCCACAATCATTCAACTGGCCACATAACATGGCTAGTAGCCTTATTTCCAAGTAAACCAGAAAGCTGGAAAGGAAGCATAATGGCCATACTGTGGCCATTCTTATAGTTAAGTCAAAACATATGAACTTATTTCAAGGAGAAAAGGCTAAGTACTTGAAAAGGTACACTGGCCAGAGCCATGAAGAAGACTTAGCTGAATTTCTAATATCAACTAAATTTCCTAAGTATAGAACATTTCATTGAGAAGAGGCTATACTATATGGTCCAGGTTCTATTCATGTTAGAAATTACTTATCTTGCTTGTATGTACATGCATTTCCATGTTAGCAAGTTTTTTTATTTTTCTGAATTCCTTTGTTATAAAAAATGTTTTATGGCTAGGCCTTATTGATAATACATGTGAAGGAATTTTCCAGTTTCAATGACTTAGAAATTTTTCATATAATTATGCAAGAGGCACATACAAAAGAATTGAGAAACGAACATCACTTCCATTATATACTTGATTTCATTATATGTTCCAAGAATGGCCGCTAACCCAAAAAGCTGGCCATGCAAAAGATTTCAAAAGTAACCTACTTATTTCATACAATAACTACAAGTTTTTCCAAAAATAACCACATAAATACCATAAAAGAACCACATCAAATGGAGGCAAGGATCACTTCCAAGTTCTATTCAGATTTTCCTTGCTTCCTCAAGAGTAGCCAATGCCTTGGTCTTTGCTTCTTCAAGCTTAGGAAATTCATTTACTAGACTCTCTTATTCTTTCCCGTGAGGCTCAGACTCATTGAGGATGGCACTAGCTGTCTGGTCTAACTCAAACTCATCACGTTCCACCTGTTTCAGCTCCTTTTGAATTTTGTTTAGCTCCTCAGTCAACATGTTTTTCTTGGTTGTAAGCTCCTCAACTCGTACCTTAATTTTTGTGTAAGGTTCTAAGGCAAGATGAAAACTTTCAAAGGCTTTGTCCCTAAGTTTAGTCTTTTTTTTATATTCTGAGAGAGATGAAAAACTAAAACTAACATGAGTAACAAAAAATTGGAGTTGATGTTGCAATTTGGTAAGAGAAGCTTGGACACTTTCAGGAAATCCAGGGTGTTTCTTGAGAGTAGCTATAGTGCCAGCTAGGTTTTGATGGAAAGTTCCAACATTTTCTACATCATGCACAAGATAAGATAACAATTTTCCTTTGGCCACTGTGATTGGATCCACTGAAAAATCTGGAAGCATGAGTACATTGGCACTTGATTTTGAAGTGCTTGAAGATTGAGTGTCCTTGATCACCTTGTATAGATTGGCCAATGCTGGAAGAGCTCTTCTATGCATCATAAAAGATGTTGATGTGGACAAAGAAGGGGTAGCCTGAAGAAAAGGAAAGCTTTGTTTATTAGACAGAAAGTAAGAAGGGAGGCGAAATTCAAGAGCATTAAGACTTGCCTCTAGGATGGAAGGAGCAGGGCCTGTAGAAGTTCCACTAGGGCTAGAAGGAATAATTGTTCCAATCGTGGGAGTTGAAATGAGCAAAATTTTTCCACTTTGACCAGCTAGACTTTCCAGAATGGAGGATTGAAGGGCTATGTCCTCCCCCTGGGCAACTTGTAAATCCGATTGAATATTGAGAAGATTGTGTCCCATAGAGGAGCCCTATTAATCAAGTTTATAATGAAATTATGAATACTTTAAGAAATGAAAAGGTGGAAAGAGTTAGTAATTGACACTTACCAAAATAATCCCCTTGGATGGTTTTAACTTCTTCACTTTTGGAGAGTCTCTAGGTTATTTGAACTTGAACTATTCAGCCTTTTCCAAATCGATTTTCCTTTTTGCTTTCCCAGTGATCTTTCTAGATGGGCGATGCTTTATGATTGTCTTGCTAGAATGTTGAGTGGGGGGTTGTCCTTTGGAAATACCATCATCATCGGAAGAATCTTCTTCAAAGGAGGAAAACTGGGTGAAATTATTTTTTCACAATAGCCAGTCCCTGCAAAAGGAAGTATTAGGAGAATCCAGAATTTGGAAAAATTAAGTCCAGCCTTATTGGAAATACCTGAGAGATATATATATTTTTTTTCCCTTTGCCTTATACAAAGCATCATCTTCTTCCTCAACTTCCTCTTCTTCTTCATCACTGGAAGAAAGACTTTCATGACTCACATTACCACTTTCAGCCACACCCTCAACCTTGGTGGGAAAAACAGTGGTTTTCTTTTCACTTTCATCTTCATCACTTTCCTGAGAAATTTATTTTTCTCCATCTGAGAAGTGTCAGGCCAAATTTTCAATATGTGGAAAGGCAATAGATTTCAATATAAAGAAAGATGGAAGGAAAATTTTAATGAAAGTACATGTTACCTGGAGATAAGGGTTTAAAGGAGGCTAATATGGTGTCACAAACGGCTTTATAATTCTTTGTTTGAGTGGAAGAGATGTAATATGTCCACCATACGTTAAACTCATTGGTTAACTGAGGCTGGCTAGTGTGGCCTTGAAAGTTGAAAGCCGATCTCTCTATTTCATAAGCCTTCTTAATTGTTGCAAATTTTGTAACATCTGTGATCTGCACCCGTTGATTAAAGAATCTATTTTAAGATTTATAGGGTGGCAAGGGAATGAGCTGGGTGAACCCCATTTGCCTAGCCAATTGGGCTGGATTGTAGAACTCCACGCCACAAAAGCTATTCCTTAGAGTGGGATTGGCAGTTCTATAATGAAGGTTTCAAGCCAGTAAAAAGCTTGCCCAAATATTTTTTCACTCTCCAGAATGCTTTTTGGTGGAAACCTCTGGGAAAGGGACTAGCCATGATGGCATGCGACCAAGGAAAGTAAATGGATCAAGAACTTGTCGTCTCCAGTCACACATTGATTGTAAAAATACTCAAATTTTTCAGCAAAACTGAAAAAAGAAGGGGTTGTTGTTGCCAAGGGATAGCACAGAAGGGTTCTTCCAGTCTGCATGGCAAATGGTGAAGTTCTTTCTTGGAAATATACCTTAAGCCACATCTGGAATAACCAGAAAGGGCCTTAAAATCTTGAGAATTTGGAAGCAAGGAGGTCATTCAGACTCTGTACAGATGAGAAAGAACAAGAGGAGGCAACGCCAAATCTCCAATCCTGGCTAAAGAGACGACAACCTGAACAAAGTCCTTGGTAACCTGACCGGATGGAACATATAGTAAATAGCCAGAAAACCAACAGATCAGGAAAGCTATGTGCTTATCTTTTTTGACTGGTCCAGTTTTCTTGTAATGCCTGATAAAAGGAATGTGGGAGGACATGAATTTCTTACTGCCAGTGGGTTTGGTAGGAAAAGGGAACTGGTCGACGAAGAGAATGGCACTAACATCATCTCCATGGGGTTTAAGGTGGGTAATGCAACAAACATCTCTTAAAGTAAGAGACATCATTCCACATTTTAGGAGGGGAGCATTCGTTGTTGTAGACCAGAATAAAAGGGCTGGAAAGAGGAGATTTGGGTTAAGTGTGATGGAGGCCTTGCTAATTTGAATAATATCAAACATACCTTATCTTCTCCATTGCGAGGAAATCTTTTCGTCTTTGGAAAGACGACTTACCTAAGAAGTCAAAGAGGAGCAGTATGGTGGCCAATTCTTTATTCTGAAGGAAGGTTTTACTTTCTTTCCTTTATTTGAAATAAGAGGGAACTCTAAACCAAAAGGAAGGGGAGACATACCAGAAGGATAAAACTTCGTGATAAGCGCCGAATATTATATATTCAAGCGCCCTAAATTGCATTAGTAAAGTCCGTTGTATGTTAATTTATGTAGATTATCTTCATTTCTATGTTTTAATGCATTTTCAGGTTCATTGGCCAAAATGGAACAAGAATAAGGCCTTGTGGAATCTTGAGCAACAAAAGGTGCCAATGCTGAATTCTGGCAGCAGTAGAACCTGGGCTTTACTCGCCATTTTGACCTTCCAAACTCAAGAACTGGACTTCCCTCATAACATGAAAGATTTATAGCTCTGAATCAGCTTTCCAAATCTTTAAACAGTTTGTCATTCGGAGCTCGGAGCAGAGAGTTATGGCCTTGTTACCAGAGGCGCGCAGAACTGCCTGGCAGCAATGAAATTCTGCCTTGATCTTCATTTTCGACCAACCATCCTTGATAATTGGATCTCCACCAAAACATGAAATATTTAGAGCTCTGAATTATCTTTCTAAATCTTCAAACAGTTCATCATTCGGAGTTCGGAGTGCAAAGTTATGGCTGTTTAACCAAAGCAGGTCTGGGCGGAGCAAGTGAAGCATGGGCATTTTTACACTAAATTCGAGTGCTCGAGGCCTTGCTTAGAGTGCTCGAATTTTGGGCAGAATGCCCTTCGGAAATGGCTCATTTCAGCCCACTTGCACCTTGGTTTCTTCACTTTTCTTTCCTCTTTAATGAAGTGGTTGGAGATGTTGGTTGGTGACCTTTTGGTGGTAGATAAGGCAAGGAAGGCCACACATATCATGATCCCATAATTCTACAAGATTAGAAGAGAGAGAAGAGAGCAAAGGGATAGAGTTCTTCAAGCTTGAAGAAGGGAGCACGAAAATGGAGGAGGTCTTCAAGCTTCTTCCTTCTTCCATTGCTCCTATGGGTAACTAAATCTTCTCTAGGGAGGTGATGAAGCCCCTCCCTTGTAAGCATGTTCTAGTGTAGATTTTACTTTTGGGATTTCAATGTATTATTGTTGGTGATTTTATGATCTAGAGCATCATATGTGTTGTAATGAATTCTAATGTCTATACATGATTATTTTGAGCCATTCATCTTGTCTTAGATGGTTTCTCTTCCTAATCATATTGCTTGCATTTCCATAGTGACAATGGAAGTTAGATCAT